TCGGCCAACATCCAGTATACACGGGGCTCAGAACACTGAGACCAGGGGACAATCTACTTTTCCTCAGGGTACAGCTCCTCCTTGAGCAACACACCAAGCTCTTCTCGAAGGGGCTTGAGTTCCTCAAGGTACTGCTCGTACTGACCCTTGTTCTCAACCTTGGTCTTGATACCTAAAGAAAAACAGTTAGCAATGTGGCTAGGTTAGGGAATTCGCTTGCAAGTCGTCGATGGTTTTCAGCAAGCACGGGCCGTATCGAATTGGAGTCACTGCGCTGACATAACCCAAGCAGGGTAGTTTGGACGCTGCCGATCCATCGGTCGAGTGGACGACAACAAGGTGGAATTGATTGACAAAATTTCGTACCTTCGAAAATGCGGACGGCAGTGCCGAAGTCGTTAACCCTTCGGGCGGCTTTAAGGGCGGCAGCGATCACCGAGGGGGCAGGGACGAGATCGTAAGCGAAGGCGTTGTTGAGGTTGCGCTGTGGTTTGGTGATAAGCCAAAGTCATACGACATTTTCGGGAGCCAGCCGGAGAGCAGCGAGCTCTACCCCGTGGGGCAAACATACCTGAAGCTCGAAAACGTCTTGAACACCGTCAAACTCCTTCTCGAACCTGCAGAGAATGGTGATTTAGCAATTGAGTTCCAGAGGAAACCTGTGCGGCTGCATTGGAGAGTATTCGGGCGAAATCGCGTGGGGACAGAGCTCTAGGCGGGCTTTGCGGCATCTTTTTCCCACAGCCGCAAGACAACCACGCAAAGGCCCCAATCCTCCCAGTCGATTTGCGACACCTTTCCACAGCACAGAAAACCGATGTTCCAAGCAGCAGGCAGGCCATTGGGTATAAGGAGTAATCCTACCTGGCAGAGAACTCCTCAAAGGTCTCCTCGGCGTGCTCGCTTCGTCGGGGAATCGAGGTGGTGAAGTGGGCAACGGCCGAGCGGGCAACCAGGGGTTGGACAGCAGGTCGAATGGGAGCAGCGCGAACGCTACGGGCGACACGAATGAAGGCGGACATGTTGGAGAGGAGAGGCGTCGATTGTCAGAGACTGAAGGTGTCTGTTGTCGGAGACAAGTCGTGTATTGGTAGAGGTAGTGGGCTGGCTTTTTCTGGCTCGGGTGATGACTGCAGAGTTGTTTGGGCGAGAGGATGGGCTGAGGATTGATGACTAAGGCAAGGCTAGACCAGATTGCGTAGTTGTGGGCTATAGTGCGAATTGTGCTGCTGGTTTACAGTAGGGTGAGACTTTTGATGGAAGTGACAGTGTATGTACTGTACTTCAACGAGCTTACTTCCAGTTAGCTTCCATTCGTCAGTGCGGCAGGGACCTGGCACGGTAGTTCAATTAATCATGGTAGCTGAATACAGTAGAAACTGACGATAGCTTCATGCCACACGTGTTGAGACTATAAAATTTGGTATTCTGAAGCAACGGTTTTCCAAAATAACTCGAACTTGGATTGATCCAGGCAACTGTAACGTCCTGCGCCCTGTCGGCAAGGCTGTCTTCGGTGACAGGGAATTGGAACGTCAAGACCGCCAATAATTTGACTGGCATTGAAATTATTACGGCACCCACCATTTGACTGACAGCTGCGAGATGGCCACACCTTAAAACACCAGCACCGCCACACCGCAGCCACAAGTGACACGAACTTTCTGAGTTTGGGATGAAGGTGAAGGTGATTTGAATTGAGGGATGAGTTAAGCGAAACCTTTATCAAGGTTCTCACATAGGCTTTTAGTTTAGCTCAGATGAGCCGTGCTGAGATTCGCTGAAGTATTGATCGATCCAGGCATGGGGGATCTCCGATATTTGTACGGAGTATGGAACCTTGGTTCGAAATTACAATGACGAAGGATTTGCGGGAAGTCAACTAACTACTATATTACGTCGGGCCCTGAAGTGACCATGGCGAAGATCAAGTTGGGCAATCTTTCCAACCTTGTGCTTTCAAGTAGTTGTTATTATCTTCCGGTGTCACTGTGAACGAATCAAGCTTGCAAATGCCATCTGACAACCTGGCATTATGTCGTCGTGATACGATGTACGGATAATAATGCCATTGTCCAACGGGCTTTTATCCCAGAGTTTGACATGGCCAATGAGTTTCGATCGGGATACACCATTCGGTCATCACCGCAGTCTTGGCATCCAGTAAGCCTCGGGACACCATCTCACAGGTACAGGTACAGCAGAGTCAGACAAGTGTAATAAGCAACGGTTGGGCACAAGCCTCAGGGGACATCATTACCTAGCATATTGTGTCGTTATGGCATTTCATGAATCACGTGTAGTCTCTAAACATCCTCGTTTCATTGGTGCATTTGGAGAACCCGGCATATTCACATGTAATTGCAGTGTGGAGTGAAGCCTCATCTCGGGCATATTTAGTATGCATGCGCGTGCAGTGCGAGTGCTTCCTCCTGTGAGCGCGTGCCATGGTTTTTGGAAAGGAATTAGGAAACAGTAGCCAAAAACGCACGAGCCTGGCCAATTCTTGGTACCTGGGGCGGGCCTGTTGGTGAAATAAGATATACGCATGGCAATTGGGTGAATTCTCGAGATGCCCCCTACAAGATGTACTAGTGGCACCTCGATGGAAGGAAAGTGCGGTGCCAGGTGCCACTTTCACTTTACTACTACAGCGTCCGCGGCGGCCGGAGATCCAATCTGCCCGGTAAAAGTGCGATTGAGGGAAGGTAGCGGTGCGGATTGAAATTTCCCCTTTTTGATGCGCCGTCCTCCTCTGGCTCTCCCTCAATTAAAACTCTACTCTCCTTCTCCCCTTTTACCTCCTTTTTAATTCTACGCATTCCCACACTCGCCGTTTACCTGGCTTCTTCTTTAAACCATTCCATCTCTCCGGAGAACCTTCTTGTTCTTCTTATTCTTCTTGTCGTTCCTTGTCAGTCTTTACTTAGTCGTCTTTCACGTGTCCTCCCCCGCGCCATCGGATCTGTCGCGTCTTCGAGAAAAAAAAAAGCCACGTCGAATACGTAACTCGACTACTCCAAACCCTACTTAATAAACGGTCCCGCGGTCAACAATTGTGTCGGTTTCAACGTACAATTCGCCCATCATGTCTGCGTCTCCCGCTACTTTCTACGAGCAGCTTCCGCTGCCAACCATCGACCGGCCTTTTGGCGTTCATCTGTGGCCCATCTTTGACAAGGCATTCACTGCTGTCGTCGGCTACTCCGCCAATGACTTCAAGTTTGTGCCTTTCGAGACCCCCATGTCAACTCTCAAGTCGACATCAATTTTCATCGTTGTCTACTATGCCATCATCTTCGGTGGTCGCGAGTGGATGCGTAACCGTGAGCCCTTCAAGCTCAAGGGTCTCTTCCTGATCCACAACCTCTACCTGACTCTGATCAGCGGTACTCTCTTGGCTCTCTTCGTTGAGCAGCTTCTTCCGACCGTTGTCCGTGGTGGCATCTTCCATGCTATCTGTGATTCTGAGGGTGGTTGGACTCAGCCCCTTGTGGTCCTGTACTACGTAAGTTTCCAGCAAAAATTCACAGGTACTCCCAGCTAACAATTGCGACAGCTCAACTACCTCACTAAGTACCTTGAGCTCCTCGATACCGTATTCCTTTTCCTCAAGAAGAAGCCTCTGAGTATGTATTTGTTCCCTGTGCGATGTTGACAAGCTAACGTTTACCAGCCTTCCTCCACTGCTATCACCATGGTGCCACCGCCTTCCTTTGCTACACTCAGCTCATCGGTTCCACCTCCGTCTCTTGGGTTCCTATCGTCTTGAACCTACTCGTTCACGTCGTCATGTACTGGTACTACTTCCAGAGCGCTCGTGGTGTCCGTGTTTGGTGGAAGGAGTGGGTTACCCGCCTCCAGATCATCCAGTTCGTCATTGATCTCGGCTTCATCTACTTCGCCTCTTACACCTACTTCACCTCGACCTACTTCCCCTGGATGCCTAACGCTGGAAAGTGTTCTGGCGAGGAGTTTGCTGCTTTCTCTGGTATCATTACCATCAGCTCTTACCTCGTTCTGTTCATCTCCTTCTATTTCGCCACCTACAAGAAGCAGGGCAAGGCTCCTACCGGCCGACAGAGCCTCCGACGCATGTCGCAGGCTCCTCTCCCCGACCCTCATCTGGTCCAGACTACTCCTGTCAAGAAGTCCAACGGTGCCACCGCTACTGGCTCCAAGACCAACGGCTCAGTTCGATCCCGCAAGGCCTAGATGTCTGGCTAAGACTATGTCGAACCGGCACAAAGGTATTCGAATGAGTACATCGGCCTATATTGATATATTCTCCTTTTGGTAACGACTGCATAATGCTACGCGAGCATTCGAGCCATTCTCGCGTTGGAGTTCGATCTGGATTGATCTCAGCGGCTTCATTACGTATATAAAACATTTTGGAGAATCGCTTTTTTCTGAAAAAATGGGCGGCTCGGTTGCTTTCGAAGCTGAGATCTGCTATGATTAATAGTCTTTATGTGGGTAGCGGTAATGACGGAGGGTGTTGTCGATGCCTCTCACGGTTTTGAGTTTACAGGGCGAACACGGGGCATTTGAAAGGACGGGCATGGTTATTGGGACACAAGTCTCGGCCGACTTTGAGCGGCCCCAGGCTACGACGATCTATCTAGAACCCTTGTAATCAATTTCTGAGCTATGTATGATAGAATTATTAATTCTCTCAGTTGTTGAGTCTGAGAGATGAATGAGCCAATTGATGGATCACTCACTTCATTATTGTATCACTGGGGTAAATTCCAAGCTTGGCTGTGATTCGTTATACATGCTACAAGATGAAGCTGGCATTCAATACGAGTATTGAAAAAGTCATTGGCAGCTTGTCATACATTCCATCTGGCAGGGTCAGGAGGCAAGCTATTATTTCCGCTACCTCTAGGTCACGGACGTACTTCGAAGGTACAGTACATAAGACATCGACACATCAAGAGCAAATAAGCTTAATGTTTAGTCCATTCCGTTTAGTGTTGTTCTCCCTTGTGGCCTTATCGTAGCTCAAACCATTGTCCTCGAGATCGTGGGCTTGGAACTGTGTTCTCAATGTCCGCATCAACTGCATATGCTGGACCTACAAATGTGTAGCGATCCGTTGCATCTGGCCTCAGGATGACTGGCTCCTTGTACCCCCACAGAATGCAAAGCCTATCTCCTTCAAGAACGTCAAAATTAACTGCGCCCAAGTATCCCCGACTTGTCTCAAAGAATCTGTAGTTGTAGAGTACTGGCATGGTTCCTGACACAGCTTGTCTTTGTCTTTCGAGACTCCAGGAGCTGAGTTCCTCGAGGACATTAAGTCTGACTTTCATGGGAGCCAGTTCTGACGGAAAAAACGCCATGTTGAGAAGATCATGATCCCAATTTGAGCTCCAGGTTTTTGTGACAGTTTGGGACTTGGACATATTGAAATAGGTGATCAGCATAGCCAGATTCATAGCACTATCGACAAGGTCCTGAGAGACGTTTCTCGTTTTATCCATGGACATCAGTCTGATAATAGCCTGGGCAGCCGGAATTCCTGTAACATATTTCGAATTGCGCATGGTGAAAGAGTTTGCGAAGGACATGAATGATGCCAAGATCTCTGGATCAGAATCGCGAAGGCAGTTTGTGGACAAAGTAATATGTCCCATATCTTTATCCCAACTGAACAGACTTTGTGTTTCTTTGACAACATAAGGGTAGCATGCACGATGAGTGGGCGATAGAGTCGGGTCACCTTCATCGGCTGAACGAAAATTGCTGGCACTATAACACCAGGCTGGTGAAACTTTTCTCTTCTTTCTGTAGTCGGGGACCCAGCTTGGTAGATCTGATTGACCATATTCCCCAGTGCCTGCGAGGGACAAAAACGCAAGAGGACTGTGGACATGTGTGGTTTGTTGTGTGCGGGCAGCTTTCAGCCAGCCTGCAATGTACTTGGTATAGACTTGCGAGGTAGTGTTCTTGGGGTTATAGTCAGGTGTAATCGGCAACCCAGAGACTCCGAGAAGACCATAGATGTAATCCCGATCATCGGTGGCCTGTAGATTAGCTGCAAAAGTTGACACAGCCCACCCTTTGAAGCCATCTGGATCCGGGATCTTGGTGCGTGCTTGCGCAAGGAATAGCCATGAGAGCTTCCCCCATGCCATCGGGTTGCTGAGAAGATTCCATGCTGTTTCCGGTTGGAAATCGGGCTTGTTCTCTTTGGCAACAGAAATTATACTCTGGGGAGTATCACGGAGCATAGACCAAGAAAGACTGGCTTCTCCTAAACTGATGAAGATAAGTTGTTTCGCGAGAACAATTTCTTGGAATATCCAAACTCGTTGCCAATATTGATGTTGCAAGAAGTCGGTTACAGCTGACCAAGGATCGTTCAAGTGGTTATTTGGTAAATCGGATCCTCTGTCGATACAAAGCATAGGATGGCGCCGCAACCATTCGAGATCGAAGTTTGTCTTAAATGGGGCACTTCCCCTGGGCGTATTCTCATATATCTCCTTCGTAATTGTTTTGATAGTTTCAAAAGCAAGAGAATAATCTTTTGGGCCAACCCAGGCAAACGTGACATATGCGTGTTGGAAGATACGACGCATAAGCTGAACTTGTTGAGATCTCTCATCAAGATCGTTCTGGTTGATACAAATCGCAGCAGCCCAAAGATACCTGGCATGTGACTGTGATCTGAAAGAGTCATCGCTCAAGACGCAGAGAAAGGCTGAAGCTAAGTTATCCGGGATTTTGACGGCGTTTCCTTTGATGGTGACCTGGCCACATTTTTCGGGATCCCCCCAGAGATAGGACAGTGCCGCATACTTGGGTTCATCGTCGAGAGATACAGTGACAAGCTCAAATTCGGAGGACGGGTTTGGTGGTATTTTGAGGAGTCTGATCTCTGACGTCCCAGGGTTGAGAGGCTTGTATAAGCGTGAAGATGCTTGACATATGGATTGTGAGAAGAATCGACGAGTGAGAGAGCGGGTGGGGATTTGCAAAAAGCGCTTCATGGTTAAAAGAACGGGCAATGAGACGATCTCATGGTGAATTCATGAACATTTCCACGAGACTTTGGGTGAGATTATGACCTTTGGTTGATTCAATGCCTTGCCCAAGGCTACCTCGACATAGCCCCCTAGTGGAGGGGGCCTAGGATGCCTTGAAGATGTCGATGTTGGCCAGAAAATACACATTCTTAATTTTGTGGTCTGTATTAAAATACGTATGGTAAAAGTGATTCGAATAAGCCAGGTCATTGACGGTGAACATGTCTATTCAGTCAAGTAGAGTTGTGTCAGACATTAGCCAAGACCTGCCAGCATCTTGAGCTCTTCAACGCACCATCACCAGATTGAACGCGACCAATTGACGTCATGTCCAGGGTCCAAATTGAGCAAAAGCAAAGCAAAAGCAAACACGAACAGTCAGCGATCCAATTTAATTCGTGACTGCCGACAAAATGCGTTGGTTTGCCCAGTTGAAGACATGGGTTGTGAGCCCATGTTTGCTATAAGAGGAATCCATTGGCTGCACATGCGAGAAGTCCTACAGCTATCACAGACAGAGAAAAGAGACACGCAAGGCAACACAATACAACGCAGTCAGGCATTTGATTCGGACTGAAGGATCCTGTCCTCATTTAGTTTCTGACCTAGAAACAGAGGCGCTTACGCCCGTGGCACTTGTAGATCCAACCCCTTTTCCGCTGACTGCATATCAGAGCAAAAGGGGGTAAAGTTTAAGCCATCCAGTGCGTTGCAATGTAATGTTTGCCGGCCTGTGATACGAAGGACAGGTTTGATATTGACGAGGTTTCTTTATTCCATTCCTGGCAGCCAAGACTTTTTCCCTGTGTTTAGTTTCTGTTTCTGTTTCTGTTTCTGTCCCTCTCTCTGCCCCCCTGCTGATGGATGATCTGCCAGCGAGCAAGGAGGTGCTGATCAGCTACAGCATCAAAGCGCAGTGGCCACGCGCTTAGAGACAAACGCCACCCTCTGAAAGTGCAGAGGAATGCGGGCTGGCGGGGTAAGGCTGCAGGCCGTTTGGATACAGCGTTTATCCCCTGAAACATTAGCCTTGAAGAAAGATGCATACCTAATAAGAATATTTGATTCTTGCCCTTAATAAGGTTTGGTTGGGTTGCGAGCTTAGATGGGTAGCTTAAGCTATCGCTTGGTCTTTGTTCTTTCCCATTCTCAATACCAGATATACAGTCTCATTCATTGGCACGCACGTGCTTCCATCCACATCCGAAAAGGCAAGTACCCTGGTGGTACCCCCTGCAATTATTCAGTTCCCCAGAATTCAATTGGAGTTGGGGTTCGATCTTAATAAAGTCCCCTCGTTCACTTTCTCTTCTCCCTCTCGCCTCTCGCTGACCTGGTCCCCATTCAGTTCAGCCTCTCAAAAGAGCCTGAGCCTCTCTTGTTCTTCGATTTCTGTTGCGTGTTGTTGCTCCTTCTTCATTTCATTCTTTCTCTTCTATATCACCACTTTTCTTCTCTTTCTTTTTTGTGAGGCCTTCCAATCTTCCCTGTCTCTATCCACTCGCGATCTGTCCCTACAGCCAGACGACCGCACGCCAAGATGCGAAACCCCTTCCGACGTCGGAACAAGAAGGACAAGGCCGGTAGTGGTGGCCAGAGCTCAGACTTTATTGTTCCCATAGAGTTCCGTCCTCCTGGTGCTGGACGCCCACCGTTATATCCTCCAACTCGGCACTCAGCATATCTACTTGCTCATCTGCCATCAAAGGTGCTGGAGCGCATCTTTGCTTTTGTTTGCCCGCACGCCCTTGACGAGACTTATGATACTTGTGAAGGCAGCGCAAGCACGAGTGACAGCAGGTGCATGCTATGCGACCTTCGTGATTTAGCTCATTGTGTTCAAGTTTGTCGCGCATGGCGGCCCAGCGCCGTCAAGATCTTGTAAGTCGTGTCATGGTGGTTCGATCATGTTCAACAGCTAACTGTTTCCTAGATACCATAGCGTTCGTATCGATCCAGTCCACTACTGCCGTCTAGAAGAATGGCTTGCCGAAAAACGTAAAAAGACCTCCCGCTTCGATCGCAATGGTGTCCCCGAGGATCCTGCTCAAGCTCGTCTCCGTCTCCTCCGACGTACTGTCCGTGATGACCCTACACGTATTGGAAAGTCTGTACAATATTTGAAGCTTCCTTACATGTTGCGCGAGTCCTCCCAGGTCGAGCTTGCCCAGACCATCGCGGTTCTTCCAAACCTACGATATGTTGACTTGCCTGAGGGGATGTTTTGCGATGATCCTCATTACGCGACCCTCCGCCTCGAAGTCCAAGCTCGATGTCCTAATCTTCGAAAAATGACCTATATGGGAGGCTCCGAGCGAAGCCTGGCCATGCTCGCCTCGGGTCAAGTGTGGCCGAATCTTGAGGTGCTAGAATTGAACGATCTCGCGATTGATGCCATGACGCTTCGGGCTGTTCTCGGTAGTCTCAGCAACTTACAAGCACTCAAGGTGTCAAACACGCCAGGTCTCTCCGATGAGGTCCTGTCCTCATCAGATGGTCTTCCTACGCTACCACCTATGAAGGAATTAGTGCTCAAGGATACACCGGGAGTGACATTAAAGGGCCTTATCGAGTATCTTGCTTGGCAGGAGACACAGCAAGCTCTGACGGTCCTGACGCTTAAGGATACAGGCGTCCATCCTGCCAGCTTGCAAGAAATATTCACAATGGCATCGTCTCTCAAGACATTTGCCATTCAGTCCAACGTTTCTGAACAATTCCCAACCTCAGCCAATTCGCGCCCACTGGCATCAAGAACCCTCGAAACTTTACGGTTTGAGATTTCTTCTTATTCAGCGGGTGCCTTCTCCAGTATAACGATGGGCTATTACTCATATCTGGCGAGCTCCATCCTTGGCGGCGGGTTCCCTAGACTAAGGCGACTCTACGTTCACGATGAAAGTTTCCCTGACCAGTTACAAGGACTTCCACCTCCCAATGCCGCATTCGCTGGAGGGCATGTGCGGAATGGGTCCAATTCATCTGCGAAATCCACTCCAGGGTTTGCCTTCCCATCATCAAACCTATCACCAAAGTCGGCGAATCTTCCTGTGCCTAGGCGGCCCATGTCGAATATCCAACCACCCAGCAAACGCTTCAGCTCTAATAATCCATTCGCTCCTCGCAATCCCTCTTCGGTAGCTCCCACGCACACACTCGAAGTTTTTACCAAGAGCGACGAGTTTGGAAAATGGAACTTTGTATCAGTTGATCCGATGATTAGATCTGCTGCGGCACCGTCTCGCCGACCGGTTAGCAGCTACGGGCTGGCGGCCGATGTCACAGGGTCTGGGTGGGACCGAGGGGATGCTCGACGCAGTGTCATGGTTGGCAATGGATCTGGTGTGTTTTTGGCTGTGCCTGGCCAAGGGGGCGACGAGGGTGCGTTTAATGGAAGCTCTGATCCATGGCGACCTCAGAGCAGTGGGGGAACCCCTCGACGCAGTCGAGAACTGTGGTAGTCGAATGCCTTTTCAACGGGTTACGGTTAATCCCTGTGGGCTCCAGAGGTCTATTCCATAAGCTTATACTATTAATGTTTCCTTTGTCACCTGGGCTCTTGGCAGAGAGGATTGAAGTGACGGATGATGGAGCATCATGAGATTATGGCGGATGAAGGGAAGTTGAGATTGATTAATTCTTGGGATCGGTTGTTATGCAAAATACCCTAGCAGTTGTAAAGGAGAAGTTGCTTGTAATCGCTGGTAGATTGAGGCAGCCCTAGGTTGACTGAAAGATCTATGTTTCTGTAGATCTAGAAGAATAGACTTTTGCAAAGAATATGTGTTTGACATTTCAGTGTGTTTCAGCTTCGGGCTAGGGACTCACAGTGATCGACGGCAATTCAATCTAGAATTAAAGTTCAATCCTTCAATCATCATCATATCTTTGTCTGGGTTCAGAATGTTTTCAGAAATATCATATCGCCACGTCCTTGCTAAAAGGGACTTTGCATCATTCTACGGTGTACATGGAAGTCAACTTGGGAATTGAGTGATACTGTGCAAAGTACTTCCCTTCTGCGGTTGCATCACGAACAGCACATACTATGAAGATCCAAGGATGGAAACAAGATTTGTGACGCTTTGGTCGATTTATTCGTTACCGGGTACGTCAATCGTGCTTCAATACTCAGGTTTCATAAACCGCATGCAGATTTATGACGTTATTGTGCATGATGATGTGTGTTTAAATATCCCTGTCATTCTGGCACCTGCGCGGTCTAGGTACTCACTGACACTCAGGTCAACACACCAATTAGGGCACTTGACTAAGGTATATTGTCTATCTGAGATAGTTACAGAATTGCCTCCCAGGACAGGTCAAGTTAGTCGTCTGTTATTAGATACTGTATCAGTAGGTGTTACCGAAGCACTCTTTGCCATTGTGGCCCACCACTCAGTCGATACTGTTGTCGCATATGGAGCAGGTTTTGTATACTCGTACCCTGTAGCATTGCAGCTTGACGTGATTTCCTCAAATTCGGATGCATCTGCATCGTTGTAACTTATACCTGCCTCCAACTCTGTCTTCAGTTGCAAAAAAAAAAAAAAAAAAAAAAAAAAAAAAAAACAGTCCTCGCACTCGAGTGGTGTGTCTGATTCATGATGGTTCCGCCATTCCGTGATTTGAAGATCGCACAATTTCCCAGTAACTCTGCCCAGCCTTAGTGATGGCACTCAGAAGCATTGGGTACATTGTTTTACTTACCTGTCTCGGTAGCAATATATATTGAATGAAAGGAGCAGTAAATCGACCATGTATGTTGCTAAGTAGTATGTTACCTGTATCACACGTCCTTGCATTGGATGGCTTTACTTACCTTGGAAAAGTTTGTCCTTGTAGAGGAATGCCACATTGCCCATATCTGTGTTGCATGCTGCTTGAATCTTTGGTCGAAGCTCCATCAAGCTGTTGTAACAGTTTTGGCGGCAAATCTCGACCAGTTCTTCTTCCACAAGTACTTCAAATATCAGATCACTGCAGGGAGAGTAAGCAATATGTTTGCATTTGTGAGAGTTGAAATTGACGGAGTAGGGGCGTGGTCAAACAGCCTGGCCAAGCATTCTGTGACGTTTGTGTTCAACATGCGCAGGCAGCTGTCACATAAAGTCATGGTCTTGTACGGGTACCTGAAACCCAGCTGTTGACCCTATGCGATTGGGAATATATACGCCGCTGCTACGACTAGCCCGAAGGCAAAGAGATGCCTCATCGGGTTTGGATAATGCCACAGCTTGATAGTGGTACAATTTGCAGAGCAAGGGAGAATAAGTGTGCGTTCATAATTAACCCACAAAACTCTATCTGTCATTGACTTGTGGAAATATTTAGATATGACAAGATTTAGTCTCTTATCGAGTTTATTCAGATGGCATCCTTTCTAGATCTTGAGTTAAGTGTAAATAGTCCCTATGCATTCCGCAGTGGGCATTAAAACCTGACACCAAGCCGAATGCCAAGTATATCTAATCTAAGTTTTAATAAATATAGATTAACTCAGGATAAACTTATATGAGTCTTTCCGTTTCCTAGAACAGAGGATCTAAGTTATGTTATCCCCTTGCCACTCAACGCACACCACTCCATGTGAAATTCCCTTCCGAATCCGTGGGTCATGATGTATGTAGCTTTCTATATAGAATCAACCAGAAGTAGTTGTATTATTTCCGTAGTACGATAGCTAAGTCTGATCCCTTGCTTGACAGTTTGGCTTGGTACCAATACCTCGCCGGGCAGTTTTATAACTAACAGTATCCCCAGGAAATGTCAGTTTTTTGAGAAACAAAGAGGAGGTCTTAAAAAGCAATATGTAACTTAGAGATAATGTACTCCCAGGAATATTATTGGTATTGTCACTGAAGATTTCGCGTTAGCTCTCGCCGACTTTTACAAATATCTGTATTGCTTGCACCACTTGGGACAGTCTTGCTTGTCTGATGACTTCAGCAACTTCTAATTAATGGGCATTAAGTGACTGCCGAGCTTCACTCCAGGGGGCCTCGGGACATCTTGTTCTTTCAACGCTTGATGAAACAGGCTGTCGTAGAGTGCGGGAATGCCTTGTACACCAGTGTAAATCCAGCCTGTGTATTCCTTGGTACATCCTTCGATAGAAGGGAAGCCATTTCTGCCTTGTCCTCCGGGCTCGCATTTTGCGTCTAGCATGGCACAAACGACAGCCCTTTTATGACCTTTAGCGCCTGCATCGACCCAGGCAGCGTATTGGTCAACGGTGTCGAGGCATTTCTGATCAACACAGACACAATATCTGTATCTCGGAAGATACATCGCTAACGGATCCTCTGCTCCAGCACCATCCCTCTCAATAGATCGCTCGGAAACCCACTGAGAAAATCTATCTCGTACCTGTTCCTTCGAGGCGTTGTCGAAAGTTTCACGATCTTCCATGACAGTCCATTCAAGATGTGGCTCAAGGAGTGTCCAGAGCTCCATGTACTTGAGCTTATCCTCAACTGTTGCCTTGAAGAAGTCGATGTAGCTCTCCCACTGAGCTTGGGACTCTTCCGTATAAACTGAACGAAATATGACGAATCCCCAGCGTTTGAATTCGGTTTCTTGCATATCGCGGATAAGGGAAGAAAAGGGAGAGAACGGTTCGGTTGCCATCAAAGATTCATCGATTTGCGGAATGCTCTCAAGAGTTGGTACCACTGCTTCAGGATGATCTCGGATACTGGCGATAATACTGGGCACTATCCTACGATAGCGGCGCATCCAAGGAGGCTGAGGGAGAGGACGCATAATTGTTAAGCAACACTAAATTGTTAATTGGAGAAATACTGGGGATGAAAGTTAGGCCCTGTTACTGAGATGGGCAAGAGGCGTCTATACATTCTTGTCTGGAAGTGTTTCGTGTCCTCACTAACAAAGTTCTACAAAACTCCGCGAGCTTAAGCATCGTGACAAGAAGCCAGAGTGTGGGTGCCCTCAGCCCCAACATTCTCAACCTTACATGCAATCAGGCCAGTGAGAACTTAAAGAAAAACATGCAAAATATTATGGGATGGACGTATTGAATTGAGACTACAAACGACAGGTCGTCCCCACGAGACAATACAAGTCATGCATAGGGGGCTTAGCGAATACAAACCTTATAGAGTACATTAATTGCCTGTGATACAGCGTATCCTCAAAGAAACATGACATAATATCGAGGGGAAGATAACCTTTAGGCCAATAGTACCAGGGCAGTGTACCTACCACATACCTAATTCGCCAGAATCGGCTGTGTACGCTAGAATTATGGGTAGAAAGTGATGATATGCCTGGAAAGGTAACTTGAAGGTCGCTTTCTCTCGTATCATATAAAGTATACTGAGCTATGTAAGGTGCTGTTTAACAATATCTCACTTATAGCTTTAATTTCGACCCTGACGCAGAGGAGGGAATGATAAAGTACTTCCTTCTGGTATTATCAAGAGCCCGTTAAGATCTTCCAGCTTTTGGTTACGATTATTGAAGAATTATAAAGTACAAGAGAAACTATTTACTGAATGCGATCCCTTATGCCCATCGTAGCAATCTCAGTAAAAACCATTATTCATCTCCAAGACGGTCCTAGTTCACAAGTACGATTCCATCAACAGCCCCCAAATCTTTTTTTACTCATTCAACATTCATAAATACTCACATCACCTAATGTATATTAATAAACGACGTGATCTTAGAAAAATAAATGAAATTGCACCGATTCCAACATGTATTCCACGGATAGAAACAGCCCCGGTTCTCGGCGGTCATCATCCGTGTCTCCGTCCCCCAACGGATACAGAAAAATACTCGGAAACGCGAACATCCATTAGATCCTTGACAAGATGCGTGTCAGTCCATGCCTCATCCTTCCGTACCTACACAGTGAAATGTTTCTATTCCAGAGAGTATTGCTTCTGTACCGAAATCGTGGGGTAAGAGAAGAAAACAATATGTGAGGGATGCTATCGACGTGGGACCCGCCCCATGAAACGAGGTCAAGAATGCACGAGGCAAGGGTGAAACTATCCGAGAAACAGATTTCTAGTGTGGGTGAACTTGAGACATGTTGCCGATAGACCGCAATAGTTGGGCCGTGTCAAGGGAGCGACAGAAACAATTGGTATTTCATTAGTGTTGCGGAGGGGAATTTATTTGGCACGTCTAGTTGCACAAGCATTCTCGCCTTCGGCCCGGGCAAGCTGGAACGTGGATGAAAGATGTTTCGATTATTGATTGTAGATCGCTCGCCTGTTGATACTGTTTGCCAGAACCGAGTACGTGGACTCTCAAGGGTGAATCAATACGACAGCTCAGCCATCATGTTTGAGCTTTAGATAGTAACGTGAGTTGGCTGGTTGCTTGTCAGCTCCTCAAGGAAGCGGAGAATATCATCATGAGTTCCATAGTTGCATCCTCTTCACGGCTGCGCCGACTTGTACTCACAGTACAGACTAATTTTGCACTCTAAATAGTTTACACCCAAAAGTCTAGACAGACACATAGAGTTCACACTTCGGATCTAAAAAAGGACATGGCTGCTTAGAGCAGACCCAAATTTAGACTCTGGACGGGTAGCTAGATGACACTAACCTCATCCGAGTTAGCTAGATCTCACGTTGAAGTGGCTGGTGACTCTTCACTGTGACGTTACAGAAGATAGCTGTGGCGGTGGGTTTGTGGCGCACTTAGTTATGTGGACCTGGGGAAAGCTCTCTTCGCTTCTGCAAGTTCAAACCATGGCGTCATCCAGTTTGAGCCAATCCATGCTCATAACGAAAATCAGCAATAATGGAATAAGGGTTCACGGGTAGATCATTGTCAATATCAAAAGACAATTCTGAACGCTGGAATTGATCAAAGGCACACAGCCTCTCAACTGGCCTGGATTTAGACTACTACAACAAACACATTCCAACGAGACGCCTCGACCGAGAATGGACGCTTTCAGTGACTACCTCCTGTACAACCAACATCCATAGCCAGCAAAGATAGTCATGCTCGTCAGAGAGTAAACTCGTAAAGCCGACCCTTGGCGACTCAGGACCGCGCTCATACAATGATATGAGGCTATCAAGAGCGGAGCAAATTGATCTCATCTCGGACGGAAATGTCATTGTTTTACATACACATCGCTTCCGGCCGTACCAGTACGATTTCGTCAATGTAGCCCAGAATATCTTTCACTGTGTTCATCCTCGCGGGCTAGAATGTCCTTTAGCCTTATCAAATCGACATGGTCGAATGCTCAGGTGCAGAATTTGATACTGGAACAAGATTCTCCGTGTCCATCATCATCTAGCATCAGACCAACCTGCGACAGCGGTTCTAGCGTATCAGAGTTGAGTATTTGGACCCTTGGATCGAACCCTTGTTTTCTTGGCGCTTTGCCGACTAACCTGAGACTTAGATGTCAAGGGGTTTTCCGAGTCGAGGGGATCGAGACCTAACGGTTGAAAGCTACAAAGGGCGAAGCGCAAAGGGAATAGAATGACGGCTGTATCTTATAGATCCCCATGTCCAGGGATGGACAAGGGAGCTTTAAGGTTGATAGAGTGAATATCTTCAAATGAGGTCTCAACAAGATGAGCACCTTTGTCGTGCGAGTTGAGACTTTACCCGGCAGGGGATAAGTTTAATGGGAATACGTCCGAGAACAAGGTCACCACTAATTAATTAGATTGATTTTTGAGTCAAGACTTTTTCTTCTGCCGGAGAAAAAAAAAACGGTCGTGGTTCATCGTATCTCGCTCTCCAACCCGATGCAAATGTCGGTCTGGCGATACAAAAAAGGCGATCAAAGTGGGTGTATGGAAGTATTCGGGACTGTATGATATGATTGGTCAGAATGCGTCCTCCTGGTACGATACCAAGGCGGATCACCGATGTTAGCGGGACCAGTTGGAGCAAGAGACTCGTCGTGAGCTGGAGAATGGGCGCTTCATGAAGGAACAAGGTTGCCCAATCTTGATCGTGTGTTGTCAAGTTCCTGCATCACAACTAATGCGCGGCACAACAAACAGTGTGCCACTCAAGAAATACCTTTTGGTAGTCTATGCCTCAGATTCCTCAGTGCCTGCGTTAACACTGCACACTACACACTCCAATGTTGCATATTGTTGCATCGTCTCCGCTTGGTGAGTTGGCAGGATAGTTACGGATACACTCAAAGCGCCTCGTCTTGGTATGCAGCATCATGTCTTCTAATGCAGTCTAATGGATACAGCCATGCCGTGAATGGGTTGAGATCACACTAGACGATGCCTTGAGCAGGCTGGCGCGGTAGAGACCCATTCTCAGGCGTGATTACTCAAGATCGACCAGATCAAGACCAACAATGAATGTCAACTACACTGTCTGCTACTTTGTGTGAGTTGTAAGTGAGTTGTCTCGAGATGTATTCCTCTGTGGGTGTGGAGCGTTCGGATGTGGTTTGACGCTGAGCTGGTGATGCGCGAAAACGAGGTCGCAGAGACAAGACCAGCTGAGCAACACCACGGATTTTTTTATCAGTTATCATCGACACCCACCGCGGTGGCCTGGCGACCCAAATGCAACCAGTCTCTAAAATACGGGCGGTAACAAATATGATACAAAAATACAAGGGCCCTGGACTGTCATCTCTTGATACCTAGTCCAGGGCCATACTTTTCACCCGAGATTTGAGTCTCTTGTGGCAAAGGGTTGCAGTTGCAGTCAGAGCCTCGACAGGGAATGCATTCAAGGTTTTTACCTGTGCAGATCATGAATGACTCTGACTCTGACTCTGTCGAAAGAAAGCGGTGTCGAGGAATTTTCGGAATTTTTCATTATCAATCATTCTGTGCCTCGCCTACAGTTGCATCTGCAGCGACCAAAAGATGCCCAATCATGCATTTGGGTGCAGATGCACGTTTGCAAGTCCGTCTTTAACTAAAACTGCAAGCCTCGCAGCAGGGATAAAAAGGGCATCAAGTCAGAATGCTATGGCTCACTGTAGAAGCTCGACATACAGTGACTCGGGTCGATGTTAGTCAGTATGATTTATGTGAGTGATTGACCTAAAATGACGAACTAGAAGAGGCTGGTTATTCCTGTCCACGTTGTCTGGTGACGACGCCATATTGATAAACCAGTCAGAGGTAAAGACCACGAGGGAACCCACGAGGTTGGTGAAGATCGCATGCAAAACACATCAACACAGTAACTGCATACTGGAAACATGAAATGTTTGTACTTGAAGGCATTTACGTCAATCTCGACACCTCTAACATTCGGAGTTTGCCATCCGGTAGATCATATTCATACAGCAAACGCACGAGACTTTAAACATGTAAATCGGGATCTGAAGCTGCCGATGTCTCTGATAATGATTCGTAGCGAGCGAACAGGTCTCCCAAGAGTCCTGGCGTTTAATGCCTCGATATCACAATCACTATTCATCCTTTTTGGTGTAGCGTGGGGGATTTGAAACGGCTCGTGGACGGCACAAGACTCAATACAAGACAGAGGTCAGTGCCAAGGCTCACTCAGGTGGCTCCAGACTCATCTCGAGACTCGGGGTGGAGGTTACAGTGGCTTTTTGATGTGTCTCTACGCGTGGAAGAGTCTCTTGGTCTTTAAGGGGTTCTGGTCTACTGACTTAAAGACTATCGATGTTTGTCAACTCTATAGCCAGGCTGGTGATGAGGCTACCTACTCCCAAATTCTATCGCCTCTTTTTCAACGACTTTTCTGGGCGGACTCGGACCTAATTGTGAGGAGGCCCCCATAGAAAATATGGGATCCATCCT